ATATATAATAATTTTTGTTTTGTGCTTTTTTTTCCCCCAGGTACCGGACTACTGCCTTGACCTCTGTCTCAGTATTTGTAAGCCAATGTCTGCACCTTCTCAAGGGACTAATAACGCATGCACAAACTCATTGGCAGCTCATTGCAATACTCTTATATCCTTGGAAAACTCTATGCAGAATCTTTTAAGAGATGCAAAGGATAAATTCCGTAGCTGGGCGGCGTGTGCAGGATTCGAAAATGTTGAACTAGCTTACAAAAAGGTTTGCGTTTCTCAAATAATGCCTAGTTACTTTGTAGAAGCTGCATGTTTTTACTAGAGAACTGCTTTTAGCCAGCTTTGATGGCAAAACAAGTGGATGCTTTAAGGGTTAGTTCCCCTTTTCACAAAAAAATTAAAAGGTAAACTAATAACAACCCCCTCCCGCTCCCACCACCACATCCCCACTGCATGACAATTTTACTACCAACGACTGTATAGCAACATAATGGTTGCAATGTGGAGCGGTGATTAGTTAATGTGGTTACGTAGCTGTGCTGCCCAATCATTAACTTTAAACATCTTCAACTATTATACCGGCTGTCGTAGGTCATGGTTAATAGGTGCTGCGGGGACTGCCGGAGAATAGGAGGGTGTTGTAAGTTAGGTTTCATTTTCTGTGAAGAGGGGAGCCAAACCATTAACCCCTTCGTGACTGACGACGTACAGTGTACGTCGCCAGCATCGGGGCTGTTTAAACAGACTCCCGATACCACCTATGTTTCCTTGATCTTTCACTCTTTTTTGCATTTGGAAGCTGGTTGGATTTGCCTACAAATTGCCCTATGCTGAGCATTATCGTGGAAGTGTCCAATGGTTTGCAGTTTGGCCAGATTATTATGACCACCCCATCAGTACTTCGTTGGGCCACGAGATGACTCCCCGAGATGACTTAGTTGGGCCGCCTCGTGACTCCACGAGATGTTGAAAGGTGATGCGAGGAATCTGACACTGCACTGTTGCCCTTCTGTTGTCTTGTACCAGTCTTGCCACTCTCCGTTCTGCCCTAACATTGACTAGTCGCTGACGGCCACAATTCGCACGTTCAGACCCATATCTTCGGCTGACAGTCCAGTCTTTAAACACTTTAACAACAGCTGCTCTTGAACATTTAATGAATTCTGCTGTTTTGCTGATGCTCCATGGCTCCGAGCGCCAACAATCATCCCACGTTCAAAGGCTGTTTAGATCGCGTTGCTTACCCATATCTTCAGAATAAAATCACTTCTACTGTCGTGGTAAACAACCTGCTTCCCTATTTATAATGGTCTGGCCCTCTAGCAACTTCAGCGCAAAATTATAGCTAATTTGCCTACAAACTTCAGGTGGTCATAATAATCTGACCACTCGGTGTATAAATTAGACATTGCAGTAATCTTTATTTAGTACTTCTCTAATCTTTGTAATAGCTAGTTGATAACAAAATGGATTGTAGAACAATAAACTGTAAATGTTGTGGGTTACAAGGATCTCATGTAGCCCGGTAAGTTTAGCAGCATCATGAAAGGTTGGACATAATCTAAATCCTTGCTTCTGCAAGAGAGCCGGTCTCACATTTTGTAGCTCACAGGAGTTCCAGACCTTGTCCAGTTCAAGTACATGTAAAATAATCCAAAGCGTACAGTCCATACTGCTTACTGCTAGACGGAATTTGTAGTACAAACAGATGCAACTGCCTTTGTTTCTACTTTGGTCTAGCAATGAGAAGCATGGGCCCTACTCTTTGGGTTTGTTAGCATCAGTTTAAAATAAAGTTTACAGCAGTAGTACACCAAATGACAGCATTCATGAGTAGCTCATTAAAACTTATGCATTACTAATGTGTTTTCATGGATTTGAAATATCGCCAGAGATCTAAATATCCTGAGATCCAGAATGTTGATGGTTTGTGTGTATTATGTGTTATAATGTCAGGAGGAATTATAATATTGATTAACACATTTTCTCTTTGTCCACAATTGCAGGTAGAAAGTAATGACTATCCAATCAGGTTATGGAAAGTGTCTATTGAACTTGATGCAACACCATATGTGGCCTTACAATATATTCTGAGAGAACAGCATACATGGGATCCAAATCTTCAGCAGTCCAAAATCTTAGAAACCCTGGATGAAGATACTGAAATCTACCACTACTCTATAGAGAGCATGCCTCCAGTACCATGCAAGGAATATGTTGTGTTAAGGTAATTGTGTCTTTTGTGTAGTTAATGTTACTCCTGAGCAGCCGATATATATTAATGTATGTAAACCCTAACTATGAATTTCTCGTATTTTGTCTTTTGTTCTGTTAATATAGCAGTAAAAAAATATTGTTTTCTCTATTCGATAAATACAACAAATTACTGCCAGAAATCCACTGCTGTGCACCCTGTAGTGTTATCTGCACCTCCCCCTATGCAGTTGTGTATTTAATTTTTCTATATACATCAAAAGTAATAATCATTGATTGAAAATTAAACAAATACTAATAACAGCCTTTTCTGAATGCGTGGAGATGCAAACCCACATGAACTTCTTTTATTGGCCTGTTAAATATACACATATCAATACACACCGTCCACACTTAGTGCAACAGTAATCAACTTCCTTATATCTAAAAGAATAATCAAGTTTCATTTTTCTTACATATAGTTACATAGTATTTGAGGTTGAATAAAGACGTAAGTCCATCAAGTCCAACCTATTGCATGTGTGCATTTATGTTTGAGCAGGTGTGTGCGCGTGTGTATGAGTCCATGTGTGATCTTGTTCTTAGGCGTACCTGTACCCCTGTATGTTATGCTCTCCGAGGACCTCGTCCAAGAGTTTCTTGAATGCCACTCTTAGCTGAAATCACTTCCTGTGGCAGCGAGTTCCAGCGAGTTCCAGACCTTAACCGCTCTAACTGTGAAGAACCCTGTGTGTTGAAAAAAAATGTCCACCAATTTTGGTTGTTGCCCTCTGGTCTTTGTTACGGAGCTAACCGTGAATAGTTTGTTAACAATGTTGCTGTAACCATTGCATAGTTTATACAAGCATATCAAGTCCCCCCTTAATCTCCTAACCTCCAACGAGAACATATTTTATTTTAACAGCCTTGTTTAATATTTCAGGTCCTCGAACCCCTTAATGAGTTTTGTTGCCCTCCTCTGGACTTTTTCCAGCTCAAGGACATCTTTTCTGAGTATTGGTGACCAGAACTGGACCGCATACTCCAGATGTGGCCGAACCAGTGACAAAAGTGGCAAAATTATAGATTTGTCCCTGCAATACATACCCTTCTTAATGCAAGACAGGACTTGCTTTGTTTACAGCAGCCTGGCACTGCAAGCTATTCCGCAATCTGTGGTCTATGATGACCCCCAAATCCTTCTCCGTTTCCGACTTCCCTAGTGGCACACCCATAAGTGTATAGTCCATTTGCCTATTTTTAACTCCAAAGTGCATTACTTTGCATTTATCTACATTAAATTTCATCTGCCATACAGTTGCCCACTCCCCGAGTTTATCCAAGTCCTCCTGTAATGTTATAACATCTAAATCCGTGTCTATTACCCTCCCAATTTTTGTATCAGCAAACACTGAGACACGGCTACTTACTCCCTCCCCTATATCATTAATAAATAGGTTAAAAAGCATGGGACCCAGCACAGAACCCTGGGGCACGCCACTCATGACCTCAACCCAGTCTGAAAAGGTGCCGTTTAGCGATACTCTTTGTACACGTTCCTTCAGCCAGTTTTCTATCCACGTGCACACTACCTCATCTATGCCCATAGCCCTTAGCTTGTATAACAAGGGTTTATGTGGCAACGTATCAAATGCTTTAGAAAAGTCCAGATAAACCACGTCCACCGGCTTCCCTCCATCCAGAACTCTACTTTCCTCTTTGTAAAAGCTCAGCAGGTTGGTCTGACAGGAACGATCCTTCCTAAATCCATGCTGGTTATCAGTTATTATGCCCTGATCCCGCACGAATTTCACTAAGTAGTCCTTAATAATTCCCTCTAACAGTTTACATACTATGAATGTCAGACTAACTGGTCTATAGTTCCCTGGTTGGCATTTTGACCCTGTTTTGAATATAGGTACAACATTTGCCCTTCGCCAGTCGCTTGGCACTCTACCAGCCATTACCGATTCCTTAAAAATTAGGAACAATGGTTTTGTTATCTCCTTTTCTAAAGCTGTTTTGACCAAAAACAATTAATGTTTAAAATAAATGTAATGTTACTTTTATCTGTAGCCACTATTTCAATGATTTTAAAGTAAGCCTGTTTTAAATATGTTGAAAAAGCCAACAATTTCCATGGCGTGTACTTATTCACATGACTAATTTATGTCTCTGGTCTTGGTTAATATCTGGTACATAGAAGATTGTTATGCTCTACTTGTATTCATTGTTACAATGTTTTTCAGGACATGGAGGACTGATCCTCAAAGTGGCACCTGCATTTTGGCAGCTACTTCAGTTGAATGTGAAGATGCTGATATCACTGGGATCCTGGGACATGTCATTTTGTGTGAGCACCTCATAGAAAACATTGGCAGTCAGAAGTGTAAAATGACCCATGTTTGTAGGACAGACACAAGGTACAATACATTTCTTTCACCTTTTGTAACTGTAACACTTTACTGTTGGTCTCCAACTATTTTAAGGTTGAAAATGAATGATATTTCAGTTTTTTTATTTTTCATACATTTGCAAACATTTCTAACATTCTGTTTTCACTTTGTCATTGTGGGGTACTGAGTGTAGATTAATGAGAAAAAAAAGAATTTACACAACTGTAGTATCAGGCTGCAACATAACAAAATTGAAAGAAGGGAAGAGGGGTCCGAATACTTTCTGAAAGCACTGTATATTACGATTTGCCCAACGTTCACTCAAGTGACAAATATATCATAATTAAATCTATACATTGAGCAAAGAAAAGAAATAAACAAAACACTTCCATTTGGGATTTTTTTCCCCCATGGTATAAGCAAGGAGTAATTTGGGGTGTTTTACAGAATTAATAGCATTTATGTTGTAGAGATCTGCGAGTGGGAGTGTTAGAGTAGTTTAGCAAAAGATACTGGGAAGGCTGACAGTCCACAAAATGCTGTGTATTATCAGTTCACAATAGTGCTTAGGAGCTAATTGCCTTTCTGGTAGGTCAGCAGGTATTTTTCTGTACCGGCAGGGTCTTTAAAGGGATAAACACTTAGACGTGCACGTGTTTTGTTTTTTTGCACCTTAAACCAGTATTGGTAAACTATTATTAGCCAAACCAGCTACCAGCCCTAGCTGCTCAGACTTATGATTTTGCTTTGCAAATAAATTGTTCCAAATTGTCTAATGCCACATGTGCAACTAACTTAAACCCGAGTGCATGCTGTTGGCATTTAAATGAATGGTGGAAATCGCCAACACTCTGAGCAAAGAACTAGTGACTAGAGGAGAACTGTTAGAGGCAGAGCTTTCAATTTTAGTCCCAAGGCGAGTATTTAAACCACGTACTGCAGTGAAAGGTAAACCCTCCTAGATTGTTCACCTTTCTGTGCTTGGCATGGATGGCTTTACAATTGAAGGTCTGGGCTGATGAATGCAGTACCTCTTCCGTACTCTGGTCCACTTGCACAGTTTGTTATACTGTTTGCTGGAGTCTAAAGGTGGCCATACACTTTACAACCATCGCAAGACCTTAGTCTTGCGATGGTTGTAAACGAATTAAAAAAACGTACGATCTGCCCATCTTGGACAGGCAGATCGCACTCTTGATCATCGCAAGCCCGCCCCGCTGAGGGGAGGGCTTCCTCTGACTGCAATGCTGAACGGGCAGTGTGCGCGTGCGCACACCGGCCCGTTCGGCATTTGTCTCCCGAGCATGCTAAAAACCAGCCGACAATCGTAAGATTTTCGACTGGTTTTCGAACATGCTCCTTAGACAAAAGACGTGTGACCGTACAGTAAAGACGGTTGCACGCCTGCCATACACTTTGCGGTTATCGTACGATCGTGGGATGTCCCGCGATAATAGCGCAGTGTATGGGCACCTTAAGGCCACAAAATGCTATTTGTAATCCACACCTTGCTGTGTGGTTGCTGGCCTGCTCTGTAAGACTGAAGAGCCATGGGAGGTGCTTTTTTCAGTGAGCAAGGTTTAAAGTGACCCTGTCCCCATGTGTCAGTATTATTGCCCAGTTTGGTAACTCAAAAGCAAGCAAAGCCACAACCTTGCAAAATTTACAATGTATAGCACTAACAGTCGGGAAGCAGTGTGTTTGCATCCTGCCTTCTCGCAGCACATGCCTCCCATTCACCATTAGAGGGAGCTGGGGGAAGAAGAGACGTACTGCACTTTTTTTTTCTTCAACTTACTTTAGTGTTGGCTAGAAGCAGTGGCCGCAGGAAGACAGACTCTAAGACTGTTTGGTGCAGTCAATTGACTTTGTGCTTGCGAATCTTCACATTTGGGCTCCTTTTATTGAGGGACACCTTTTTTTTTTTTTTTTGTGAAGCGTGCCTCCACCAGGGCCATTATGCTTTAGCACAATCTGACAGACCTTCTGACTCTGGTGCTGGTTGGAGGAGCACCATTGTAAGAAGTTCTTGTTACGCCTGCTATTCATTGGTTACCATCTTTTCAGCTCTTCTCTGGATGAAATCATTAAAAATGCAGCGAGGGGTAACAGTACTCACCCCAGCTATTTAAAGGTAAGGATTAACAACATAGGACCTTCCCACCCTGCATCAAAACATTACTTACCGTATGTTCCTGAAATTCAGGTTCCTGTTCCAAGACCCCTTAGGCTCATCCGCATCTAAATGTCTGTGCAAACCAAGGGGTCCTTTGGATAAATGTTTCCTGTTATACTCCGTAAATTCCAGGACTTTGAAAAGGTCGGGAATTTTAAAGTTAACTTTTCCAAATCTGCAGCCCTTGATGATTTGCTGCAAAAAGTCAAAAAACACGTTACAAAATACATTCCCATTCTGATGGCATACAAAAGCCTTGAAATATTTGGGGCTATATATGCCAGCTGACCCAGCCAACACTTGTAAACTAAATGACCCCCCAATAATACAAAACACCTTGAAATGTTTAAGTTCGGACTCTGTTCCTCTACCAATGGTTTGCAACAAATGCTGTTTTCACATGGATATGATCCTTCGATTCCTTTATTTCAAACTGTAAGAGTACACATCCCTAGATCCTTTCAGACCGTTCTGATCGGGCCTTGCTGAAATTTATCTGGGCTAACGGTAGTCATAGGCTAAAATAAGATAACTTAGCTAAACGTAAGTGCCACATCAGTTCCAAATTTAGAACTTGATTGCCAGGCCAGTCTTCTTACTCATATCTTAACCACTTGCTGACCGCGGTGTTACACCCCCTTCCTGGCCAGGCCATTTTTCAGTATTCAGCACTGCAGTAATTTGACTGACGTTTATTCCGTCATGCAACGCTGTACTGAAATGAATTTTATACAATTTTTGGGGACAGACAGAGCTTTCTTTTGGTGGTATTTAATCACCACTGGGGGTTTTTATTTTTTACTATATAATGAAAAAAGTTAAGAAAACTTTGAAAAAAAAACTGTTTTTCTCACGTTATGTTATAAAACATTTATTATTACCCAATGTGTTGGTAAAATATAAAAGACGGGGTTACGTCAGGTAGATAGACACCAAACATGTCAAGCTTTAAAATTGCGTGAGCCTGCACTACCATGCCTAAAATTGGCCATAGGCGACACCTCAAAAGCTTTTACCAGTCATCAATTCAGTGTTAAGAGTTATTAATGGCCCTAAAATCATTGCTCTCATTCTGACGTTCATGGCGATATGTAAAGTATAGCGTAATAGTTGTTACTGCACTTTGTTGTGTGTTTTTTTTGGGGGGGGGGGGTTAATACAAGACTTTCATTTTTATTTTAAACTTTTTTTTTTTTTATACACTTTATTGCTATCACATAGGAGGTGAAAAAATCCCCCTATGTGATAGCCAACATACAATGACAGAGACATCAAGGGTCCCCAAGACCCCTAATGTCACTTTGGGACCCTTAAAGAAGCTGATGAAGCAGAGATCTGCTTCTTATCGGGCTAGCTGCCAGAGAGATGACAGCTAAAGGCGGAAGTGATACACATTGCTTCTGCCTTTAGGAGGAGAGAGCAGCAGTGGGGGGTGCTGATCTCTCCTCCTTCTCTGTACTAGTAGCCTCTATGCTGGTGTTCTCGATCCCGCACCCTTAGGGGGGACAGCAGTACCTGGGAAAACCGGCGTGGCAGCAGAGGGGTGGCCTGCACTGTGCAGGGTCATACAGTCGATCCTCCAGCTGTAGAGCCGCTAACAGCGGTTTACATTCCCGGCGGGAAAAAGAAATCCCGTACATGTCCACCCGCCGGGAAGCATCTGCCGTCTGCCCGGGTTTTTTTTTTTACAATGTGCGGATGGCAAGGGGTTAAAATGCCTTATAATGAGGATCATCAATCGTGGGTCATTATAAAACACTGCATCTCGCCTATGCTCCTCCTTTCCCTCCTATTGATAACTCTGTTGGCTAGGTCTCGCTCTCATTTGCTACCAATCTGCCTACTCCCCTTATGAAAGGTCTGGAAGTCTCTTACTTGCACCATAAATATCTCTTCCTGTGTAGAAACTAGGACTCCTGCGCTGTTGCTCCCTCCCAGAATGAATACTTTCTCCTTGCTCCTATAGTATTCCTCCCTCCATATACCAAATCCTACTAAATGAAACCCTCAACCCCTGAGAGACTTCCAGCTGGCCCAGACCCCTCCCTGCAAGGGACCTGGCTCCACTATTTTTAATTAACAAAAAACAAGGAAGAAGCGCTACTATCCTGCATGTAAGGTGATAAACAAATTGGAAACTTGTTTATCACCTTACATGCAGGGTAGTAGCGCTTCTTCCTTGTTTTTTGTCCATTGTGTAAAGGAAAAAATTTAAGTCCCCCCCCCATTTTAAGTTACACATAAAAAATAAAAAAACAAAAAAAAATTTTAAATTCCCCACCCATACATACACGCATGCAAACATGCTTCGGGGACGCATACGTGCAAAAAAGACGATTGCGCCCATTACGCCGCATATGTTACATATCGCCGCGAACGTCTGAGTGAGAGCAATAAGTCTAGGGCCATCAATCACTGATAACACTAAACTGATGAGCGGTAAAAGCTTTTAAAGTGTCGCCTATGGCCAATTTTGGGTATGGTAGTTCTCTGCAATTTTAAAGCTTGACATGTTTGGTGTCTATTTACCCGACGTGACCCCGTCTTTTATATTTTACCAAAAAACTGGGTAATAATAAATGTTTCCTAACATAATGTAAAAAAAAACGTTTTTTTTTCAAAATTTTCAGTAATTTTTCCTAATTATAATAAAAAATAAAACCCCCCAGTGGTGATTAAATACCAACAAAGGAAAGCTCCATCTGTCCCTAAAAAATGGTATAAAATTGAGCTACTACGCCAGAGAACAGCATCTCATTACATTATAATTTCTTATTGACGATGAGATGCACATCTCCTCCATGCTATATTACAGCCTGGAATGCAGAACTTCAATTTGAATTACCGCTACTCAAGGATGCCATCTTCCAGCTATACCACAAGTCACAGCTTAATTCACTCCCAAATCCCTGCAAGTTGTGGGGATTGATATTCTGATATTGCAAAGGACCTCCTTCGCTGCTTTATATTGCTGGCACCGTAGCATTAATTCTAAGACATTGGGGATCTCCCTTGGACCCAGTCTTTAATGAGTGGAACTAAGAGCGATGTCACCTCAGGAGATTGCAGAAATTGAGGGCCCATCTCCACGATACCCAAGATCAAGACAACATTCTATCTGGCCCTTGGATCCTTCTATGGGATCACTGGCTGATAAAAAAAACCTCTTTCTCTTAAAGTGGGAAACCTTTGGACCCTTCACTCTGCTTTAGGGGGCTATATTATGGTGTGGCAGAGACCCCCAGTATTGTTATTTAGAGCAGTGTATGCCTTTCATTGCTTGTGGCCTTCCACCGCACTGCGTACATGTCTTCCTTGTCTTCTCTGCCTGCTCTTTCTTTCATTTTCTTCATTCTATTTACTCTTTTGCTTACCAACTTTCTCCTCCTTGTTTAATGTAACGTGTTCACCGGACCTGTCCATCTATCATGGCACAAAAAGCTGGAAATCCCTGAAGCAAGCAGACTTCTGAGGACCACATATCACCTCCTCAACCTGTTTTGTTACAAATGTACACTGTCAAAATGTTTGTCCTGAATACTGCATGGATGGTGGCCTGTCTTGTCAGGTTGCACTTAACCCCTATTCCCTCAATAAACTGTGATTATGTTAAAAAAAGGATTCTTGGAAGACAATTTACCACTTGGTGTTAGGTGTGCTGACCTGCAGAAAGACAGTCTTTACACACCCACCAGGATTACAGTATACCTCCTCCATATTCTTGTTTTATCCAGACATTGCGGTGTTACACCAATCTGCTCCGCTCCTGTTTTTGGTTATCTCACTATCTTGGAATGACTTGCTTCACACCTCTCACATATTGTAATAAGAAAGGCCAGTACAAATTCGTTTTTTACAGCCAGCAATCAGATTTGAAGTTCGAACATGATTGGTGATGACTGAAACAGAGGGAGGAAGTTACACAGCAGAGGCTCCAGAAAGTCTTGTTCTACTGAACCTGATAGGGGGTCCATGCAATCTGGGTGCAGTGGATTAGAGAATTCTCAAATTAAGGTTGCGTGAACTTTTTAGCGGTTTAATGCTCACTGCAGCTCCCATTTTCAAACCCAGTGCTCTTGCTAACCTAGCAATAAAGTAATCACCTACTAATAAAGAATATCTATGCACAGCACAGATTGGGTCTAGGAAGCCCTATTTGGCTATGGCAGAGTGTGTTAAAATATTGCACTGGAAAGATCACAAGGATCTGGAGTTAGATTGTCCAAGATGAATTTCTAAATTGAAAAGATGGCACTGACCATATAATACAATGTAACCACCAGTAGTTTCCAGGCTACTGTTCTCTAGGTGAACACATTTTGATTGGCTAGAGGAGATGTGTTGACTTCATACATGAGGTAATTATCTGCAGATATAGTCTTAAACTGCCTAATCTGTGTGCTGTGTCTTGTGGGTATTTTAAAGTGTAACTCTGGTTAAAACCATATCTTTTAATTTTGGATACAGTTGTATGTGTGGTTTTCCACACATTTGTTACCACTGGATGTAAATAGGTATTGCTGTTGTGTCCGTTAGGAATATTTCTTTGTTGTAACTCTCATACACAAGTTAATTTGCTTTAATGTCTTGGATAGAGGTGCACATTAACTAGTCTAAATTATTAATCCAATATCCAATTGTTTCATATAAAGCTTTGTTTTACAGGGGTCGTACAAGTGAATGGTACAATAGAGTTTTTGGTCACAAGTGTGCTACTGAGATCCAGAGAATAAAAAGATCCTTCAACAAGAATTAAGCAAAGAAGATATTAACTGACAAGCCATTTGGATAATGTTTCCTGGAGATGCTGCAGCAAAATGAATGTGACCAGAAGAGAGAACACAATCTGTATGCACTGTCTTAAGCTGCACATACACCTTACAATTATCTGCAGATTTTGATGGAAAAAGTGCAACAGATTGGCCCAGGTGGAGATTACTCCATCCACACAGTTAAGTGTAGATGGAGGAATCTGTTGCACCTTTTCCATCTGACCACAGAAAATCTGCAGATAAATTGTAAGGTGTATGGGCAGCTTTAGGTGCTAGGTTTATATAAATTGTCTTTACATGTGGTGTTTTTAAAAATGATATATATTTTGTAGGAAGGGTACTTGAATCTGTATTCATTTGGTGTTATGTAAATATACATTTTATTTATGTGCAAATTCTAATTGACAAAGATTTATTAAATGTATTGTAAATATACAGAAGGCATTTTTGTACAAACATGTTTGAGGTGAAGCGTGCAGTTTCTTAGTCCTCATTAAAACAAAATCAGCATATACTTAAATACTTAAATGTCTATAAAGTATTTTCATAGGGGTATATTAGGAAGCAAAGCATGGCTGCTGCTTTTTGAGAATTTTGAGTTTTTGTGACTGTCTTAAATATATTATTTTTCATAGGGATGCACCGATACCACTTTTTTAAGACCGAGTACCGATACTTTTTTCCAAGTACTCACCGATACCAATTACCGATACTTTTTCTTAAAGGGTCATCTCACATTTTTTCTAAAGCAATACAAAATAATGATTTTAGGTCAGTTTCTTCATATTATGAAGAACATGAACTGAATATTTAGATCATGCCATTGCTAACTAAGGCTTGTATCCCCATAGTGGGGAAAATAGATGAGCACATGTCCAGAACACTGTATTGTATAATGTGACACAGCCATATCCAATTCTGTATAACTGGCTTTATATTATACATTTTTTTTATAATATAAAGCAAGGTATGCAGAATTGGATATGGCTGTGTCACATTATACAATACAGTGTTCTGGACATGTGCTCATCTATTTTCCCCAATATGGGGATACAAGCCTTAGTTAGCAATGGCATGATCTACTTATTAATTTCATTATTTAATGTCTTTTTTTTTAAATATTATTTAAAGTTAAACAACATTACAGGCATATATTTTTGTTCCATGTGCCCAGCCCCCTTGCGGTGCTGCAGTCCTGATAGAAAAGGATTTTGTTTCTGCCTGGAGATCCGAACCATTTAAATTACCCTTTATCTCATTTTTGTCAACCAGATCCGTAACCAAAATGAACCATATATACCAAAAAGATAAACCAGCTAACAAGAGTGGCTGGTTTAAAAGGGGTTAACAGAGGATCGGGACAAGTATTCCAATTACAAAAAGAGTTTATTAGATAAAATATCAGTTTGACATAAACATCATATCACTAACTGGTTTAAAAAAAGCATGAAATACAATTATAAATCTCAGATATGCAGATCTGTTTGTATAATGTGCTCTCATTCATATATGCTAATCAGCTGATACCAAAGGATAATACGTTCCATATAACGTATTACCATTTGGTGTCCGCTGGTATCTGAAATACACGTATTAATCTCCAGTGGGAGAAACAAGGAAGTTACATAGTACCCCCTTCTTCAAAAATCAGTTTCTTTCCCACATGGTTTCAGCTGATTAGCATATATGAATGAGAGCACATTATACAAACAGATCTGCATATCTGAGATTTATAATTGTATTTCATGCTTTTTTTAAACCAGTTAGTGATATGATGTTTATGTCAAACTGATATTTTATCTAATAAACTCTTTTTGTAATTGGAATACTTGTCCCGATCCTCTGTTAACCCTTTTTAAACCAGCCACTCTTGTTAGCTGGTTTATCTTTTTGGTATATATGGTGCTGCAGTACTAACCTGCTGTGTCGTCTTCTCCGTCTGCTTCAGCCACTCCGTGTCACAGTCTAGTCATCTGCTCCATTCTGACCTCTTCTCCCGCTGATTGGCCGATTGGATGATGACAGGCTTCCTCACCAGTCAGGAGTGAAGCCTGTCAATCATCCAATCGGCGGGAGAAGAGGTGAGAATGGAGCAATGACTGAGGACTTGGAGGAGGAGTTCGCGGCCATCTTGTTTCATTGAAGACGCGATGGAGGTCCTGTGTGCGGCGATTTCGGGTCCCTGAAGATGGCGGACACGGCACAGGTACTCGTTTTTTGTATCTGAGTATTAGTACGAGTACTCATGCAAATACTCGGTATCGCCGCCGATACCGATGCTTCCCTAATTTTTGATTACCTCGAAGTAAGCAGTACATGGATCTGCCTGTTTTGAAGAGAAAAGGGAAAAACTGTTTTTGAGAAATAGTCAGTGCTGTGTCCTTTCTTTGTAGCTTGATTTTATAATGACAATGGCTTGGAGAGGCTAAGAACAATTGTCTTTTTCACCAATGTTGAATTTATATAGGAACATGCCCTCTGTTGCTAGTCTGAATACAGTGCATGATCCTTTTTGTAATCTTTACTTTTATGGTCTTCTTGAATTTTTGTCTCTGTGACCAAGCAGAACAGTTGTATTTGATGACTAACGTGAATGGGTTTTTTTTTTATTTTAATGTATGGGAACAGTATTTTATAGTCCTGTTCTAAAGACGAACAAGATGTCTCTTTAAATATAGATGCTCTTGATGCGAATTTCCTTTTGTACAGTTATGCTTAAAACATTTTCATAATCCTGACAGAAGGTGGACCCTTTAAGGTCTCATGCGCACAGGCACAAATACAGGGGTACTTTTGTGGTTTCCGAGTGTTAGAATATATTTTATGAAGTCTGAAAATGTGCTTTGCTGCATTATACTAACAAAAGCACTGCTGGGCGACAAAGTAAAAAACTTACAAAGTTATTCCCAAAAGGGTGAAGAGTTTGGAGAAGGCAGGAGAAGTGACCAATGAAGGACAACATAGCTGATTTGGGAAAATGCTCCATTTCAGGTCACTTTCCAGTTCAGCTATGTTGTCCTAGATTGTTCACTTCTCCTGCCTTCTCCAAACTCTTCACCCTTTTGTGAATAACCCTGTAGGTTTTTTACTTTGTCGCCCAGCAGTGCTTTTGTTAGCATAATGCAGCAAAATAACCCTGTTAATGTTGCAAATTGCAGCAACATATTTGGAAAGAGATTTGTACTAGAGTCAAAATTGCAACAGGGAGGCAGGGGGACACTGTAAATACATCTACCCTGTAGCAGAGTTCAGCTTCCAGAAGCTCCAAAGTGGCAGATGCAAAAGAGACCAGCAGACCTTAAAATATAAGTAAACTTTTTACAACAAACTTCTCTCATTTGTTTCCCTTTGTTTTGTTCTGTTTGAAAACATGCAAACTTCCTGAGCTGCACTCTTATCAGTTAGCATTGTTCCCGATTTCCTCTGTGAACTATAGAACAACTCCCACCATGGTATGGAGATGAGAAGGGAAGGTGGTCTGTAATCCTAGAACACATCCTACGGTGGCAACATTATGTACAGTGAGTGAGCATTGTCAGCCTAGGTCAGTGTTAATGACCGGATCTCTACATCTACCACGCCTGAGGACTGATAAGCTGCAACGTATAACGTTTTTGTTCTTGAGTTTAAATAAGCTTTTAGTGATGTTTTGCTATTTTAGGTCCACTTTAAAGTGATTCTATCACAAAAGGCTCACTTGTGCACAAGTGCTAGACTGTAAAAAAAAAAAAGAATATATTGATATATTGCCTTCCTGATGCCTTTGTTTTTACTTCTGGCCGCTGTAGATATTTCCCACATATGGGTGTGTTCAATACCTGCCCCTCGCTGCGCACTGTGGTTTCTCCCACCAAAAAGTACATTACTACAGGACAAACCAGGAAGGATAAAATACCTGTAGTGGCCAGAGAGCAGTGAGGTAGTATCTTTTCAACACGTGGGCCACCAGCACAGGCTGGCTATTGTGTGCAAGTGACCCTGTGGTCACGTTTAAGACCATGACCTCCTATATCAGTGGTTCTCAACCTGTGGGTTGCTGCGTGCCTTCTGCTGCACTAGGTGAGAGGCTTCTCAGCTTCCCCCTAGCGCAGCAGTGTCAGTTCTCCTGCTGTGCCACCAAATGTTGCTGCAGCCACGGCTGGATTAACATAGGGGCTAGGGGAGCTCCTGCAAATAGGCATAGCCGGCCGAGGTCATCTCAGTATGCCTGATGGCAAGCCGGCCAGCCCCACTGACCATGAGAGAGTCCGACAGTCCTCTGGTGACATCAGGCCGCAAACCCAGAGCAACATAGAGAGTATGTAGCTTCAAATGATTCTGTATTGCTGGGACTTGTAGTCCTTTCTTCTGGAGTGTGATCTCAAGGGGGAGCCTTGCAGCAGCAGGCAGCAAGGATAATCCCAGTTTCTACGTATTAAAAACAGTGCTGTGAGAGACTGGCTTCCTGGTAAATCAGGAAGATGACCTGCCGCCTGGCTTTCTGATTGGCTGGGAAGCTGGTTTCATGTTCCCTCACTGCACACTAGCTCCCAGAACAATGAGGGAGCTGGGTGGCAGGGCATGACCCACCACCTTTCTTCCTGATTGGTCAGTATGAGTACTCGCCCAAATGCTCCGGTATTGGCACAGATATGAGTTGTGGTGCATCCCTGAATTTTACTGTTGGGAGTCCCGGCCCTAGAAAGGATGAGAATCACAGTCCAATATCATTGACTAAGGTTTACCACCCTGACTTCCCTAATCCTAAAGAGTTGTGCCTTTACATAGGAAAAGGGCCCTGGGATATTGAAGGTACTTCTGCCTATACCGGGGCCCAGCTGTAACATTCCAAGAGAAGGGTTTAAAGCGTTAGTAAAAGTAGGACATACCGCCACTTACTGTGGGTTGGTAAAACATATTTATCCTGATGTTTAGATGTCAGAACATTTAAATTAAGGTTATAGTTTCTGTCTTAAAATCAGAGCCTATATGTTACCTAGCTGGTTTCTGTATGTGGAAACGTCAGTCAGTACAGGCTCCATTTGTGTAAGAAGGCAGGGGCATACAGGCGATTGGGA